TTTCATCTCTCAAGATTTATTGCCCCATTCCAGTAGAGTGTAAATTTATATAGCAGGCCAATGACTTTTAGTTGATATTAAAGCACCGATCATTCCTTTCATCGAAAGGGGGCCCAGCTAGTATCTTATATAATTTTATCTCATTTCATCCCGTCTCATCTCATCTCATCTCATCTTCTCTTATCTTCTCTTATCTATCTTGATAGACACCCCAAGCCTTAACATAACAAGCACAAGAAGGAAGAAGACATGTCACTTACTCCTCAAAGACCGTGTTGTAGTTGTTGTAAGCCTTGTAGACATCCGAGTTGAGCTGGTTGCAGAGCTCTATCAGTGCATGGAGCAGGTCTTCGTCTCTCTGTCAGATACATGGAGAGTCATGTGAGATATCTGTCAGATACATAGACAGTCATGTGAGATATCTGTCAGATACATAGACAGTCAGGTAACAGATCTCAGTCCCCCCTCTCCCCCCACTCTCCTTTTCTCCCCCCCCCTCTCTCTCAGCCAGATGCAGAGGCAGTAATGTAAGATATTTCCGTCTATCTGTCAGATATCAAGACAGTCTGTCACTGCATGAAAGAAAAACTCGTTTCTCTATATGAATTACATACTTTTAAAAATTATATACGTGTTTATATAAAAGTTTATATATACGTAAATAAAAATATATTAATACATACATAATAAATACGTAAACAGATTATAATAATTCCTTTTTCAAAAACGGGAATACCTCACCTTCGCCTGTGCTTGACAGGATGAATAGATTCGCTCATACCACTCCGTGTTTGTTTTCTGAAAAAAAGCCCCAGCAAACATCAACAAACATTAACAAACATTAGCACAAAGAAAATCAGGAAACATTACGCAGGTAACGCCAATAAATGTCCTGTCTTGTTGTGTGTATGCGTGAGTGCACCTAACCTTTGTAACATCTACTGCCATTGCAAACGACCAGGACAAATTGCTCCCTGTGAGATGAATAAAGGTTGTCATTGTCATTGTCATTGTCATTGTTATAGACATGTACTCCTTGGTTCGGACACGGATTTTTTTCGCCCCCTCCTGCTCACCCAGCAGTAATGGGAACCTGACTTTGCGCTCGGGAAGTAAAGGCGGCGTGGAAAGGAACTGGCCACCCTACCACAATATGTCGAAGGCCCAGGAAGTTGTCTCACTAACAAGGCAATCCCCAAAGTCTAGATCGGAGGTGGAAACAACTTTACTTTAACTCCTAGATCACCCATTGTCTCTGCTGCAGCTTTCTGCTTTCTGTACAGTGAAATCTTCACTAGGAAAAGTTCACATCAAATCCGCGCCGTAAAGCCATAATGAAAGGTAAAACGCCAGCCTCGCTATAGTCGAGTGCGTGTGCATTTAAGTATACTATAAGCTTAGTGGGGGAGAGAAAGGAGAGATAGATAGATAGAGAGAGAGAGGGAGAGCGATAGAGAGAGAGCGAGAGAGAGAGCGAGAGAGAGAGAAACAGAGTGAGAGAGAGACAGAGAGAGAGATGAAGATTGAGATACATATATATATATATATATATATATATATATATATATATATATATATATATATATATATATATATAGAGAGAGAGAGAGAGAGAGAGAGAGAGAGACTGACACACACACACACACACACACACACACACATACAGAGAGAAAGAGAGAGATACAGAGAGACAGAGAGACAGAGAGAGATACAGAGACAGAGACAAATGATCGGAAATGGAATAATAATATGTCTGTGAAGATCGACAACTATGAGTGACACATTCCTTCCCCTTGGTCTAATTAGGCCAAATCTGCAACACCCCATCTGACAATGACGCGAGAGGGAAAGAGATAAAGACCGACATAGGTACATATAGATAGAGAGACAAAGACAGACGAATACATACCGATAGAGAGACAAAGACAGACAGATACATACAGATAGAGAGACAAAGACAGACAGATACATACAGATAGAGAGACAAAGACAGACAGATACACCCAGATGCAGAGACAAATCCTAAGACACACAACATATTGTTAACGAATTGATACATAATACATCTACCGTGTGGCCCATATGTGCAGACATTTATTAATATTATTATGTATTTTGTGAGGATAGATAGAGAGATAGATATATAAATAGATAGATAAACAAACAACCAACCAGACAGATTGTGTATTGCATTGGAATATAAAGAAGAGATCAGCCAGACTGCACAATAAGAAAAGAATAGTCACGTAAATTCGGAAAAAAGAACAACTCGTACTTTTACAGATATCCAAAACGGCTTAACCCGTGCTGGGAAGTATAATATATGCACACACAATATTATACCACTGACATTTTCAAGCAAAAAAAAATTTCTTCGAAAACGATAACACTCATTCAGAGAGTGGTTATGTTACTGGAGACCATGACTATAGACCACAGGCGTTACTCTGGAAAACATGACTATAAACCACAGACGTTACGTTACTGGACACCATGACTATAAACCACAGACGTTACGTTACTCTGAAAAACATGACTATAAACCACAGAGGTTAATGGAAAACATGACAATAAATAACAGAATTCACATAAAAACGTCACATATCAACTTTCCTATTGTGATAAAAATACGGATAGGAAACGCAATTTAATTTTCTTTCAGATCAATAGAGAGAGATGATTTTAAAACGATCTATTTCGTTACTGAGTCGACAGATTTAAAATGGTGAAAAAAGAAAGGGAGAGAGAGAGAGAGAGAGAGAGAG